AAGGGGGCTAAGGAAACTAGCTGCTAGGTTAAGCTTTAGGGGTGCTTTGTTGACGAGAGCTCTACATGGGTGCGAAGCTGGAAGCGTTCTAAGGTTAGAGATAACCCTCTCCGCTCGTGCCTAGAGACGCAGCTTTATTAGTAGAAGAAAGTTCTCGTAGTCTAGTGTTTAGGTAGATACGGTTTAGAAGGCTGAGATGGCCTTGGTTATTGCCATCCTTTAAACCCTAGAGAGTACTCCTATTTGCTATTTACATCTCTTTAGGGAGTGCCAGACCGTTGAGGCGTAGTCTAATTAGGGAACAACGCATGCTTGATAGAGCTGGCGCATTTGTTTCGGTCGAAGGTGCCTTAGTCTGCTAATAGCTAGGCAGGTCTTAGTTGCTCGTGTGACTGCTCTCTGGACGTAGGCTCTCCACCGGAGCTGCTGATCGAAGACGACTCCTAAGAGCTTCACTTCTCGTCTTGGTTCGATTACATAATTGCCCATGACTATTACTCCTAGATGAGTTAGGTCTGAGCTTCTTGTAAAGTGAATAAGCTCTGTCTTATCAGCTTCAAAGCTTGATCCGGTCTTTTCTGCCCAGCGTTACATTCTTAGGATATCTTCTCTCTATAGTGCTGCAAGGTTCTTGCTTATAGACCGGCTTATCCGCCATCGGCAGTAGTCATCAATGTAGGCAGATGCTCCTCCAGTAAAATCTACTAGTTGGTCTACTAGGTCGGCGTTGTAGAAGGCGAATAAGACTAGAGAGAGTAGGGATCCTTGAGGGAGACTAGGGTAATCTAGAGCTGTAGCTGGTTTAGTATAGCTATCGAACGATATTGAGGCTGTCCTATTTTCTATAAAACTCCTAATCTAGTACCTTGCTTCAGTTAGTATCCTTTTCTTAGCTAGGCAGTAGTCTAGTGTATCTTTATTAACTGCGTTAAAGGTACCTTTAAGGTCGAATGCTATTAGCGTAACTACTTTATGTTCCTTCTAGGCATTCTATATTGCGTCTACTAGGACGAGTAGGGCTTGCTCT